AGCAAGGCGGAGACCAACAACAACCACCATGGAAACATGGGGTGGGTACAGGTGTAAATTCAACCGCAACTGGAACTGGAACCGGAAACTCAACCGCATCGCGTTTCGTAATGGCGGCTCAGCGGAAAGAGCAGTTGGCGCAGTTGGTGGAGTTGGGCGTGGCAATTCCGGAGGAGTTTAGGAAGGATATGGCGCTTGCGGGAGATTGGGAGGTTGTGGAAGAAGTGTCTGTGGAGAAGAAGGGTGCGGAGGTGGATGAGATGGCTGCGTTGAATGTTGGTGTTAGGAAGAGGAAGTTTGAGGGGCAGGAGGAAGAGGAGGCAGCAGGGGAGACGGTCGTTAGGCAGTGGTGGGGGTCGACGACGCGACGGTTCCCGGGAACAGATGAGAAAGATGATCTAGATGCGTTGTTAGAGAAGACGGCGGAGTTGAAAAGGAGGAAAAGGGAGGCGGAGATAAAGGTGGAGGCGAAAGATGAGGAGGGGCTTGGGGAGGGAGTGGTGAAAAGAGAGTGTGAGAATGCGGATCATGGTAGTTATTCCCTGGTTAAAAAGGAAGAAATTGAAGATGGGTCTACGGAGGTGAAGGTTGAGGAGGAAAAGGATGGCAAGGATGTGTCGAAGTCGATTCCCGAGGCCGCGAAGGATGCGTCGGAGGAAGTGGTTCCGGCTGTTGTTTTCAAAAAGCGCAAACCGAAGCATGCTAGGTGATTGACTGACTACGTGCTCCTTGAGTTGGTATTCTGCGCAGGAATGCTAGACTTCTTATCACTACACGGATAGAGCTATTGAGTGTCTTTCCGGGTCAGAAAGCCCATCATACTTTCCATTGGGATATGTATCGGAATGCCGGGACTATTTGGGATTTGGAAGACATTTAAGGCCGACTGATTACCCATTTGCGGACTGTTTTAGCTGGAGGTAGATGGACTCAGCTATGATATGCGGAAGAAAGATCTTTATATGGCTTGGAGGATATGGGTCTGCATCTTATTGTGGACTTATCGAAGTTGGCTGATACAGCGGGCCTATCTGAACGGGCCCCCCTCTCACGTTGCAATGGAACTCCTATCCACGAACTGCTTGACTACAGCATGCAGTTTGAATGCCGATCCGTCCATGGGCGATACATGGTGGCACATCTATGACTTATTTACAAAGTTGGTTGCATTCAAGGAAGAAATGAAGTATCGAGGGGTGTGCATGGATAATGATGAAATATCGATCTATATTTGTAGAAATTACGAGCCCTCAGCAGGTGTTACGGGGAAAACTGCCGGTGTACTTATTCAAGGATCCATATTTCATAAAATATAAATACATAGACTATATCAAAAGTAATCACAAAGTCCTGAATATCAAGGAACATGGTTGTTTTTAATATGTGAAATGGCTGTGTGAAGTAATCCCGATATTTTGTAAAAAAACCATGGACTCCCCACAATTTCCTTCCCAGCCAAAGAGAACACTTCAACCACCCTCAGTTCCCTGCTCCTACATAATAAACCACCATCACTAAACCCGTGGCATTCATAAGCATAGAACATCCACTTCTGTCCATCTCCTCCTGTACATCTGCCTTCTCTTCTGTCTCTCTGCGGTGTAGCATATCCGCTGCCCTTGGATTCAAATTGCCACTTCATATTGTTTGCGCTCCGTAAGTCCAACCAACCATATAACTAACGTAGTGGAGTTTTAAGTTAAACGCATCCATCCGCTGCGTTTATTGCCCGTTGAACTCGCAGCCACCACCAAAGGCGTCGCTTTGGCCAGAGTATCAATCCTGCTGTGGTCACAGTCAAACTACGTGGTCGAAGGACTCGGTTGGCTCGCTCTTTATTCTCCTTCGCTTAGTCCCTTTTCTCACCCCCAGGTACGTTGGTCCACAGACGGGGTCTCGCTTGAGCTACCCCCCTCCTCATTCCATTAAATCCCCCTCCCCAAAATAATTCCATCGCCCGCGTGTTCTGTTTCCGCCTTCATCCCCTCTGCTGTTGCTCTATAGGACTGAGCGGGTTTTTGGCTGTTCTCTGGTGCTGCTGTTTCGCTGCTGTTTCTACACTAAATGGCTACACTGAGCTTTTGCGCGGACGAGACGCGTTTTCCTGTTTCGCAATCAGGGAATCTATATCGATATTCAGCTTTTAATTTGTGCCGGTGGCCTCATCTTGCTGATGACCGCTGCAAGTTGGGTCTTGGATGATGTCCTTCCAGTCCCCTTGATGATTCGATGGCCTCTCTGTGAAATAGCTACGTTCTATGGGCACTCAATCACGGTTGGAACTATGTTATGGACAGCTTCAAAGGCTCAACAATACAGCTCTTCTCATTAGGCGTCATATCTCATAGAAACATGTCGCGTTAATTACTCCAGCTAATAGACCTGGTCACAGTGTTATGGTGCCTCAGATCCCATGCGCTACAACTTAATCGGATTTCAATGACGCCGCTGTCGTCTTCATCTATCCATCGCCATCCACTCGAATATCCTCCGCCCTATGACAAGTTCGACGGTATAACTTCAATAGTCCCCCACGGCAGCATCCATAGCAGTCAAACGTATAACTGGGAATATCCACGGCAAGGGAGAGTGCTGTGTTGGCGGGGTCGGGAATAATGTCAGAGACAGCACGAACGGCTGCAGAGCCGTCAGCAACAGACACCACTCTGCCCAAGGAAACGGAACCGTGGCCAAACCATCACTCCCCAGTTGCTTCAATGTCGACGTCTTCTATCTCCACGCAGAATGTCCCACCTCACTCAAATCCTCCCGTCCACTCCTCGATACCTTTTTCGCCATCACGAATACCACAACTGCCGGTGCAGCCGCAGCAGCCGCAGTCACTGCAACAACCTGTGCAACAGCAACCCCTACCGCAACTTACAGATCCCGTCCAACAGCTTCAGCTTTATCAGCCTCCATCTGCGGGCTCGCAGATGGCGATGAACCAACCCCAGATGAACCTCCCTTCAATTCAATCAATAGAACCCCAAGCCCAAACCCACCAGATGCCGCAGGCGCAGCCATCCATTATCTCCCCTTCAACCAATACATCGATGAACATGCCTCCGCCAAATATCCCCCAATACTATACTATGGCTGGAACTATGTCCAGCCCTGACACGTTTCCGATCGTGGGTGAGACGAACCGTGGGCTCTCTAGTGAACGGCACAAAAAGGAAGTCAAGCGACGGACAAAAACTGGTTGCCTCACCTGCAGAAAGCGCAGAATAAAGGTAAGATTATTATTTAAATTGACAACATAATTTTTGCACGGAAAATTGTGTTGTGAGGTTGATCAGCACTGCCTTGTTGCCGCAGGGACGAAGATTTTGTTCTCCCCCGCATTATGGCTGCATGAAGCTCGCTTAATCAAGGAGATCGCTTAACAGAAGCTGCATCGTTCTCCCCTCATTACTATATTTATTTAATTTTTTAAAAGCTCTGAACCCCGTCGACAAAAGTTCAATTTTATTTAGCACATTTTTTATTTTCTATTTCATCTGATCTTGATGATCATTTATTCTGTTACTTGTGCAATTGTCGCTGTGTGCTCTCATCCGCTCATTTCAATTTTAGTTCAAGCTGACTGTCTTCCCCCTCACCTGTATACAGTGTGATGAGAGGCATCCTGTCTGCAGGAACTGTGAAAAAAGCAAACGTGATTGCCTTGGGTACGACCCGGTATTCAGACCGCAACCAGGTCCCTCAATCCTACAACCTGCGCCATCTCAACCGTCGTTACTAGTGTCGCCTCAAAGCAACCCCGCATATATCAGTGCCCAAGTTCAGTCCTTTGCGCAACCGCCTTTGCCCACGACAAACTCATCATCGTCTCCTTCAGTTAGTCAGTTTGAATACGGAGGCGCAATTGATCCAGCGTTGGAAGGAGTCGCATCCCCAAGCACAGCTGTGCAAAACACAAGCGAAGGAGGACAAACTTCAGATTCCGTCATGTTTGGGCTCGAGGACGTACAATGTAATATATTCTCTTATATTCCCACCCTACTTCTTGACTTGTCCTAATATACGTGTCCCATATAGTAAAACCTGTGAGGGTTATAGACCTTCTGTCCGTTCGTGGACATGTATCTCCTCCACCAGAAATTAAAACCATCCCCGCATCTCGAATCGAAGAGATCAAACTCGTATACCTCTCATACGCTATGGCGATCGACAAGTTCCTCGAATGTACGTGGTTTGAATCAAGAGGAATGGCGCATCTTTTAGCAAACACCCGCCTCCTATCATACTACTCCGCCCTCCTCGATGGTTTCAATGACCGCAATATCCACGACCCCGCTGTGCTGGCTCGTGTCGAGAGCCTCGAGGCTTCCGTCATCTGGGAAACATTAACATTAACACGCGTCGCTCGCGCAAAAGAACCTAACACCAACGGCTCGGGCTCCAGTTCCCAAACACCCACCTCCACCGATGTCGAGCTCCTCTACGCTGTGAAAAGGCTAGCCGTCTTCGAAGCCCTTATAACCGGTGCTTACCTGGATACCAACCCAGTTAGTCTGGACAGTTACCCGGAATCTGACCCAGCACACAGACTCCCCGGCATCGGCAACCAGATCAAAGCCCGGGAGGTTGATTTCTGGGAATCCGTCGGTCGCTATCTCACAATCTCACAGGATGACATCAACTCCCGGAAACGAAAGGAGGCAGCCTTGACATCCTGTCGTGGGCTGTTGGATACCTTTGAGAACCGCGACGTAATCTACTCCATCGCCGTTGTGCGGCATATTGCCAAGTTTCAACCGCGCAAGGTGAAGCAGACAATTGCCAGCACGGATGAGAAGGATGCTGCGGCGAAGTTGTACGTTGCTGTTAGGTTCTTGGAGGATGAGAGTCATGGCAAGGGGACTAATCAGGTTATTAAGCGATTGTGTGGGATGGTTGTTAAGTATTGGGAGGATCAGTAGGTGGCGTCATAATTATATTTAATTAATTATGGGAATGCCATTCTCTTTTTCGTTTGATATTTTTTTTTTCTTTAATTTGAATGTTGGGATGGATTGCATGTTTTTCTATCTATGAAGTAACTTTCTTGCCCGAAATACCTAATTTCATTTATTAAATCCTGTATAACAAACAACTATTGATAACAAAGCAAGCATGAAGGTTGAAGTGGTGCGTGTTTGATTTTGCACTTTATACCTTTCCCTTTTGATGCCCACTGGGATGAACCTTGATTATCATGTTGTCATTCTGCAATTATCACTTTTTCTCCTGGTTTGCTTCTCTTCCTCTTCCTCTTCCTCTTCCTCTTCCTCTTCTTCTTCTTCTTCTTCTTCCTCTTCAGCTGTATATTTGGTTAATAAGGCAACGAAAAATGTGTTGGGCTTTTCTTAAGGCTGGATGGGCTAATAATGGATTGATCTGTTATTTAATTTCTCTTACCTTTTTGCAATGTTACTTATTTACAACGTTAACAATAAATGTGTCTGTAAGTCTTTAAATGAAAATTTATGATGTAGATGAGAAAGCTGATCTATTGAACACCGAATGTACAATGCAGCGAACTCATTAAGAGATATAGTACTTGATGAAACGAACTTGTGTCAGGTTTGGTTGCAACATGGCCGGGTTGCGCAGGCATCTACGTGGACAAGAGTATGCATGTTGCTGGTTAAAGTAATGCATGTGCATATGTGTACCTTGAAAAGACCTCCTGTTGCATAAAATGGATATAAAATTACCCAGTAATTAAGATGCAATGAATCTAACGTACGAGGAGATTAAGTATAGAAATAAACACCATCCTCCCTTTTTGCAGAACGAATCTAACCGCCCAATATTCAAGATTTTCTCCATGAGTTGACTTTCATTGAGGGGATCTTTTCTTTTCTTTTCTCTTTTTATTTGTTTTCTTTCTTTTCGTTTCTTTTCTTTTCCTTTTTTCTTGGCCGCCTTTTCAAAAAGTCTATATTCTAACAAGTGCAAATATCCTTAGAAATGAAATAAAAAAAAAAAAAAAGAAGAAGAAGAAGAAGAAAGAAAGAAATGAAGCGGAGAGGAGGGGAAGGGGGGAATGGATGAATTACCAGCTTAGATTAAAACGATGTCAGGATAAAAATGGCATTTCTGCCTGCTCAGGGACGGGCGATTTCAACTTTCCCGTCTCAACGGCACGGCGCACGTTGTCAATTGCCCATTCTTCCATTGCCGTTTGAGTCTGTAATTTTCGGATGAGTCAAATTCCAACCCGGAGTTGGACACAAAGCATATATTCGTACCTCAACGCTATAGGTCCCCATATGTGGCAAGAGCATGACATTTGGGTTCCGTATTAGGCCTGGATGGACATTGGGCTCGTCCTCGAACACATCCAAGCCGACGGAGCGCACTTTGCCGCTGTCCAAGGCTTTAACCATGGCATCCTCGTTGATGACGGCGCCACGGGCGGTATTTACGATGATGACGCCGTCCTTCATCTTGGAGAATTCGTCGTGGCTGATTATATGGCGGGTATTTTTCTTTGCGAATAGAATGTTTGGAATAAGTTTGTAAGAGGGTGGCATGTCAAATGAATTAATGAATGGCAGGAGAAGAAATATTATTCCTGGACATGCAAGGGGCTAAAAGGAATGAAGAAAAGAGCTAAAAAATAAGGAAAAAGCGAAAAAGCAAAGTAAACTTACGTTCAACGGTAAATTCAAACTAATCACATCACTCCTTTGCAACAATTCGTCAAGTGGTACATATTCAGCCCCGTCGGCTAGCTCATCAGGCAGCTTCTTCCGGTTGTGGTAGATAATCTTCATTCCAAAGACTTCAGCCTTCTTTTTCAGATTCCGGCCGATTCCGCCCATGCCTAGAATTCCGAGGATCTTGCCTTGAGGGTCATGGCCCAGTGTGGGAGCCGGTAGACCTTTCCATTTCCCTTCCCGCAGGGCAATCATGCTCGTATTGAAGTTTCGGAGAGCACCAATTATTAGGAACATGTTTACATCTGCAGTTGCATCGTTAACGGCTGTTGGGACGTTGGAGACAAGCAACGGCGGAGACCGAGCGCTGCAAGCATGAACGTCGATTTGATCATATCCCGCTCCTGAGAGACATTGTGAGAACAATTTTCGTCCCGAGTTGAAATCGATAAATAGACCAGAACATACCGCAATGCGCAATATATCTTATCGACTTCGGTAGCGCATTGACTAATTCCTCATCAATTAAACCCGTAATACTCGATGACGCAAAAGTCCGATAAGCCACGAGAACGCCATCTAGTTTGCCGCTCAGGCATTCCTGGATGAACTCTGCACGATTTGTGGCCAACGGGGTGACCAGCACTGCGATCTCTCCGAGAGCTTTCCATGCTGCATGGGCACTTCAAGGGATGAATCGAATGAAATCAGTATTGTCTTCTGCTATATGCGTCCATTTAAAAAATATGCACAGAATATAAACTATTCGTCGTTGGGAGCAGAGAAGGGAGGAATATGCAAATAGAAATAGTTGCCGGGAACTGGCAGGGAGAAGATGGCAAGGTTGGCAAAAAAAATAAAAATAAAATAAAATAAAAAAAAGGAGGCAATGCGCATACTATCTGGCAACGCAGCTTATATTCATCCCACATTGACGGCAAACGTTTGTAGATAAGTGGGGGAGCAGATATGTTCGAAGGTTGACTTACTGTTCTATCATGCCCAGCAGCAGCACCTTCGGCTTGCTGTTGGATCCCATATCAACTGGCAGCGGAAGTTAAAACTGCACAGTTGGGATATTGTTTCTGTCTAATCTCAGTCAGCAATTGTGCCTTGGTTCCGACGTATTCACAATATGAAAAAGAAGAAATACCGAGTCGGTTATATAAAGAGCTTTAATAGGGTTCAGTTCCGTAAATTTGGCGTCAAGTTAACCGGCCCTGCCTCACATACGGTAACTCATAGAAAATATGGGGAACCTTATAACCGAACCGAACAAGAGTAGGATGGTAAAATAAAAATTGCGGGATATGGTGGAATTCGACAGAGGATTCCGCAGGTTAAGGGTTTAAAAAGGGGGTCGGCAGAAGAGACGATTTCAATGTATCTTTATACATTCAATCCCAGAATGTCGGAAAAGGCCCCGGCTACTCCGTAACTACATGGAGATCGGGACGAGAGAAAAAGCAAAAACAACAATGACGCTGTGACCCGAGTTAGTTTGAATTGTGCTGAAGTCTGGACGACAGCGCAACGAGAGTATGGATGCGATAATCACTTAACTATAGTTTGTAACTATTAGTCAACTACATATATAGTTAGCTGGGTACAAAGTCAACTTCAGCCCGGTTACCAAAGGTCGGATTTTACTTTTATATATCCTTAAAATCTCCACATGGCGGAGAGCATGGGGATGCCATATATAGTTAGCAGTGCGGGGGCCGATATAGCAATCCGGTCAAAAAGCTACGGGAGTTTAGCTGGCAGACACTTGTCTTCGGTTAGCTATCAGGCTACCTTAAAACCCCGTTTACTATCAACTAACTTCTGTGCCCGGTTGAGTTGTCATATTTAAAGCTGGAGGGGGAAAACATATACTCGTCTAATACTGGGCGATGGACTTTCAGTCGAGCAAGAGAGTGCTTACACTGGGAATGACACACTGCAGGTGATAATGTCATGCGATATCATGCCGTGGATGTTGGCATGAGAATAGAATTGAGACAAGCAGTCTGAATATTATTATCTGCTGGATGAAATACACTTCGCATCGTCCCCCTTTTAGCAACCTTGCCAAGTTCATCTTTTTGGCGCATGTGCAAGTGAGATAAAAATGACCAAAAGAACGCAAATACACCACACCAGCATCCAAAATGTATAAACAGTAAATCACTCACCCCTCCGTCAGCACCCTTGTCCAATCGAACTTCCTCCACCGCTTCTTAAACCCATCAACCCTCCCATCACCCCCCTTCCGCCACCGTCCTTGCCTCTTAATCACATCTGGCTCCAGATCTAGCATGCCGCCAATGACCTCTCTCGCAAACAAATCCCCACGAGGCCACCGACTGGCATCCTCAACAATATGTCCCAGCCCCCCGTCCAGCTCAAACCACACATGAAAATACGGCATCTCCTTCGCTATCGTGCGGCGGAACGCCAGTTTGCCCAGGCCACTGCGTGCCTGCGCTAAAGTGTCGATGAGCTTTTTATGTTGCGTCCACTCCTCGTCCGCGGCAAGTATGGCTTCCTTGAAGAACGCCGGTGACATCTCGCCCAGGCTGTAGGGCAGAGGAACAGCTTCCATAGCTGCGTGGCGGTGTCTCTGCGGTTGTGCTGCGTTTTCATAGAAGATTACATCGCGACCTTGGTCGTGGTACATTCGCGTTAGACTCTTCATGAAGTTTCGTATTTCTTCCCATTCATCGTCGTCGCATTCAAGGAGATTGTTGTGATGTTGGATCGGGACGATGCATGCGCTCCCTTCGCTGAGCTCCGGTTCCGTAGGCAGAGTGAGATATACCCTGGTGGCTAACGAAACTACAGGGGCGAGGGGTGGCGTCTCTGTGTTTTCTTGGTAACAGAGTGGGCAGCTATCGAGGATGCGGTTCACCTTTTGGAATTGACTAATGGCTGTGTTTTTGAGATTGATTTCTGATTTTTGCACGCGTTTAGCGAGCTTCGCAGCGTTTTCATCCATGTATTCGAGGTCATTATCGAATTTCGCATCTTTAGCAATTCTTTCCGCAAACCGTTGTCCTTCCCCTCCAGCTTGGCCACGAGTCCTCCGTTCCTCTCGAACCATATCCTCAATACTCATGTCTTCATTCTCCTGCACTAAACCCCTTTCCTTCCCCCTCTTAGTCTCCACCGGCTTGACTTCTGACCGCTCACCTCCAGCAAGAAGCCTATTTTCCATCACCCCCAGGACCACCACATCAGAATCTTTGCGCCTCGCCATGGATGCCACGGCAGCATTATATTCTGCCTCTAGCTCTGTCGCATTGGACGCGCGTCGTAGCTTTGCTTTCATCATCTGCGCTTTGAGCCGGTTTAGATCTGTAGTGTTCGATTGCTTTGTCTGCTGCTGCTCAACAACCGGGTTACTCTCAATAGACTGACGGCCAGGGTGCAGTTGGCCATCGTTCGGTTCCTCCTCCTCTGCCCGGAATGTCCCTTTTTCTCTCTGACGCCCATAAGCAAAGCTTTTCTCTCCTGGTAAAGTTCGCCGGGAAGGGTTTTTCCTTTGCCAACATAGCCCTTCCACCAATATGTTTGCCCTTCCTTTCCAGTTCCAATTTTCCTCCCTCCTTTCGCATCATTCGAAGGAAACGGAGGTCCCCCAAGCCGTTTCAATGGCGATAATCTTCAAACCTTTAGCTCCCGATTTCCTGCCGCCTGGCCAATAAAACGGCCTTCAGCTTTGTCATGCGCCATTGCGAGCCCGCATCACCAAATGTATAATCCACCTCGTGTTTTACCGGTTCCTCTAGTCCCTTGGTATCAGGTTGTGGTTCTGGCTCCAACTCCTCCTCATGAATATCATGTAAATGACGATTTAACTCTCTCTTATGCAACTTTAACCCGAAGTCCGCTTGCAGCATCCGGGAAGCGGGATGTTCCTGCTGTTCGGGTTTGGGACGTTGAACGTAGTCAATATCCAGAGCGGAGGGCGCTTCCATCCATGAATCCCGTGTTAGTCCCGTAGGCTCTTCTTTTAGAGTTGGTGGCGGAGTTGTGTTCGATTCTGTAGGGTCAGGTATTTCATCCTTGCCACCGCCTCTGCTCTCCTCCTCCCGCCTAGATCTGCGTTTGTGGGAGCGCTCGCGATCCTCATCGCCGTTGCTGCTGGAATGGCGTGACCGCTTGTGTCTGCGTCTGTCTTCTTCGTCGAGGTTGGAATTGCTGTGTCGGGAGGAGTGATGGTGGTGACGGTCGCGGCTATGGTGACTGGAGGAATGCCTATATTTCCTGTCTCTATCCCCGACTCTCTCCTCAACTCTGTATTTGTCTCTGTGCCTGCGTTTGTCCGAATCCCGATCTCTCTCTCGATACTTTTCCCTAGTTTTCTCACGCTCTCTTTCCTTCTGACTCGCAGCCAGTTCCTTTTCGAAATCGTCCAAAGTCATTATTACCTTAATTTCATATCCCGTAGTTTGTCTGGCCGTTGCTGTGGTTTATATTTTCCAAACCTGGTAGATGTTGTTTCTTGCGAAAGATACGGGTGGTTAAGATTTGATTGAGGTCAGCTCAAGAATAACGTTCGTTGATCCGCATTTGCTCTTGACCCATTTCATTTTTCTCCGAAACACATGTTTACTATAACTTTTTATCAGAGTCAACTACCTTCAGTATATCTTCCCTCCTACATACTACCT